GATTGGCCTTTCTTTTCCTACCCCTGTTCATTCTTGGTTATTTAGGGGATTTGGATTAACTTATTAACTTATTAACCGATGCGTACGCTTACGTAAGCGGTCACGAGGCAGGTATAGGATACAGTAGTTCGTTACATACGATTGGACCGTTGGTAACAGCAGTATTTTTGGCGTATCAAGCCAGCACATAACAGAAGAGACGAGTAACAGTTTAAACAGTTTCTAACGGCAAAAAAAACACCAATATAACGGAGTCTAACGGCTAAAAAACCATCAATTTTTGCCCTAGCGCCCTTGGTGGGATCGTAGATCATCCTTGTGGTGTGGGGTGGGAGTAATGTAGTGTGGAATAACATGCCACATCGTGCTCAAAATCACACAGTTGACCTCAATATCGCTATCGAATTCATTGTCGGATTTTTTCACTCTAGTTACAAACCTTAAGGACATTTTTCTTTGTGTATTTCTTGCCAGAGTGATTTTTGTCTGTTTTATACTTTGTTGTGGGTTCAATATCATTATCATACCCTCCTATAAATTTACGCTACAACTATGAAATATGATGAGAAAAGCTTGCATCTGTTGAACATGATTTACAGCATGTTTTCTTGCCGATCTTAGTCTTGGAACATGCTTATGTAATTTTCTATTAAACTATTAGTCTAAGATATTATTATAATATGTAAATTTATCGCTCAACCAAGTCCGTACATTTGGTGATTTTTAAACTAAACACGTAAACATAAACAGAATTTTTTTAAAGATTTCTGTTACCTTGAAACCACTCCAATAAGTTTAACTATATTTTCTCCCAGCACATTTGTAGTGATGTCTCTAACTCGAGCCTTCCCTGCCCGTCCGAGACCCACTACGACGATGCCTAGAGGTTTGGACATTATGGACGCTGTATGGCGAGGATTTCAATAAGCAGTACGTTTTGCTTTAGTGTGATGGAACCGGCTCTACCAACTAAACTGAACTGACTGACCCTATGAAGTGCTATAGTCTAGGAATTACGTAATCTCTGACAGGAGTATGAATGAGAAGCGGCCGATCAAATATCGATTGACTATCGACGAGCTATCGATCGATAAGTCCAATCGATTGAGTTCGAAGCACATGCTTTGTTGTTGTGCCGAAGACAAGAAAGCCCGCGAAGCGAAGGTTCAGGATTTTTCTTGGAATTTGTTCTAAAATGGAGACAGAATTAATGAAAATAGTTCGCCTGGAATACGTGAAACTCCGTGAAAATGCGCAGCAACAGAAGAAAGATTCTTGCAAGGTTTGTTCGAAGTATTTTGGCTTGTTTGAATGAAGTCAGATATTAATGCAGTTCCTTCATTTGGCTAGCTTTTGTTTCTTTATCTGGTTTATGGTTTGGTTCTCTTTTCGACTTCCAGCCAAAGTATAAAGGGTTTTCTTAAGCAAATAATCTCAGTAAAGAAGTAAATTATCTGAAAGTATGAGGGGAAAATCGGTTCTATTAAGCGAGTTGGTTCTTTTATTTACTTGCCAAGTTTTGGGAGACAAGTTCTTGGACGGTTTAAAAATGAGGTTTCACGTACAAGAAAGCTTATTCTATTAAAGTTATAAGATGCTATCGACTATACAAAGTTTTTTTGCGTGTTTCTATAGAGATACTTTACGGCAAACCGTCAAAAAATACGCGAACAGTTGAAGAAAAGAAGTCAAATAAGCAAAGTCGTCTCATCTTGTCCTTTGGCTCCGGCAACCATCTCTGCAGATCAAACACATGCTGCAACCAAAAAGGTAAGTATGCAGCAAGTTACGGCATTGCTTCCATGTTGGTGGTATAAGTTATAGAGGCTTTGCACCCTCACTTGATGACAGCCATGACAGGGGCATAACAGCAGAGTCTTTTACCCCTGGGGAAAACTGAATTCTTTCTAGTGTAAATCAGATTAGACCAGAATACATTGTTCCTGCCCCGTGTCGTGGCTGCCATCATGTAATGGTGCAAAACCTCTATTGTTTAATTTATGTAACATTATTTGTTATTGTGTATAAGAACTCAATAGGACATTTGCATGATGGCGTCATCGACCTCTACTACCAGACTCCCTTGCACACTTTCTTTTGTTCAGTTAATTAACACCAGTTGTCTTACTATTCTCACGAGGGAATAGTATTTTAAATAAGGAAGAAAATACACTAAGCATCTTGATGTATTTTTTTCAATATATTTTTAGTGTAGCGTTGTTAGTGGCTTCAATCATCCAACTCAGCACACTTTACTAAGAACCATGCCTTATGTACATCCAATACCTCAGTTTTTCACCTGGTCACTCCTGCAGCAAAACTTTATGGTGAGTTCCACTGTCCATCATTGTCTTGTCAATCATTGTCCTGTCAATTATAGCAGCATTAGTAAACCTCAATTAATTCAATCAAACTCTGAGAAATCCTCTGGGTTGACAGTGTGGATCCAGGATTTTAAAAATGCGGGTTCCAAAATGGCCACCACCCAGAACAGGCTGGTAAGATTGGTATCACAAAGGGGGTTCCAATTTCATTATTTTGAGCGTAAAGAACATGATTGGTTTCACAATATCTCACCAAAAGGGGGGGCTCCAAGCAACCCACGGAGCCATCCCTGGATCTGCCACTGGTTGATCTCAGTCAAAGAATGGCTAGATCACAGATTAAATAAGAATAGTCCCCTTCACAGTTCCCTGTGCTGTCTTGAAAGGTAATTGTACCTGTGCATTGAAGCAAGAGTTGCAGTAACCTTGCAATGACAGAGTTAGAAATGTGAATATTTATTGCCTAAGGTGCTAAAAAAGGTCTCCATCTTGATTTACAAAGTTGGCATCTTCAATTTGGTGATACCAAAAAATTGTTTATAATCTTTCAACAGAGTTAAACATCTTAGTAATCTTTTTAATACAGGTAGAAGATGAGACTGTTTTGCATAATATTCCTTACATGGGTGAAGACGTTCTTGATCAAGATGGGTCATTTATAGAAGAACTTATCAAGAACTATGATGGAAAAGTACACAATGCACATGGTATGTTAGGTTTTAATGTGGACACTCTAACTAGGACCACTTCTACAAATTTAACCAATCATAGTATAGAGTGACTTTATCACATAGATATCAATGGAATACCAGGTTTTCTCTAGTGTCGAGAACTTGATATCTTTCACCAGTGGAAGATACCATATCTTTCACACGTGAAGATATCGCTRTTGAATCGGCTTGCTATTTYAATAAAGAATTTTTGAGCTTTTGCTCTATTTAAGTTTCATCGATATCTATATTCTTGTGTTCAATTTAGATATCTCACTTGTGAGATATCAATTGAACACTCGAAGATAAAATTCGTAATTCCGCGCGCACATGTAATATCCTCTATATAGTAGCCAATCAGGCGAGACCATAATCAGTTGCATTGTGATATCAACCAATCATAATGTTTCATTTCCATGACTTGTTAATATCGTCTAAGTTGTCCATCTAATACATCAGATTTTGGCTTCAGTGCTTGCTCTTGATTTGGCTAAGGTTGGTATGGTTTATTTTCAATCTACAATATAATTGGATATAAACTTTGTAGAAGTAGTCCCAGGTAGTGTTTGAATAGTGCTATTATTTTATTTCAGTTTATTATTTTTTGCATTTATTTATTCATTCTAATTTTTTTCAATTTGAATTTTTTAGTGTTTGATGAGTACACCCTGACAGACAGCTTGCTGGTTGAATTGATTGACAGTGTCATGAAAACTCTAAAAGATAAACAAACTGAAAAGAGTAGTGGAGGTAAAGTGGTAAAGTAGAACATAGTGTAGTTCAAGAAATTATCTATACCCCCCCCCCCCCCCCACCCCTTCCTAGGAAGGTATTTTTAGACCTACCCCCAGAAATTCCAATTTTCTTCAATGCAAACTCTAATTACCCTACTCTTCGGAAATTCCAAATTCCTCTGTGGGATGGGTATGGATGATTTCTGGAACTACATGACAGTAGTCCGCTGTGGTGAGCTGTATGCATTAGCTGTGCTGTGTCAGGGCACAAAATTAACTTTTAAACCCTCTAGCAAAACCTTGCTAGTAAGTTTTGTTCTCAGCAAAAATTTCAAAGTCACTAGCGATCAGACGTGGTGAATAACAAAGCTTTACTTGATGTGGGTTGTAAGAGTGACTGTCTGTAACGATCAAGCAAAATTTAAAATCCGTGGCAAACTTCGAAAAATCGATTTCGCTCATACTTTCAAGTTAGTTAGGGTAATGTATCCTAAGAATCGCTGTATAGTTGGTTTGATCAAATAACGCTTTATTATGGAGAAAAATGGAATTTTTCAAACAC